TAGATGCTTTGCTCGTTTTTTTCCATAAATAAATTATTATTATTATTATTATTATTATTATTATTATTATTATTATTATTATTATTATTATTATTATTATTATTATGGTTGCGCGTATGACTTCATGAACTACAAATAGCAAACTGAAAATTAGAATTTATATTATGGAATCGCTAACAACAAAATGCATATGATTTCGCCAAATTTGAAGAGCAAACGTAAATAATAATAATAATAATAATAATAATAATAATAATAATAATAATAATAATAATAATAATAATAATAATAATAATAATAATAATAATAATAATAATAATAATAATAATAATAATAATAATAATAATAATAATAATAATAATAATAATAATAATAATAATAATAATAATAATAATAATTTATTTTAGAAAAAAAGCGAGCAAACAATCTGCCAATTTTTAGATCTATCAACTCCAAAATATTTGAAAAACATGAGGATTGAAGTCAGAATAGGATTAGATATTCCAAACCTACACGGTACCAAAAATAAGGGAATTAGAGAGATAGTCTGCTTATCACATTATTAAACTCTATATATACACCACATAACATAACCCATAGATCACAATTTCTGCTTATCAATCCAAAGTTTTCCTCTCTCAACCTGTGATTAAAGATCGATCGAAGAAGTCATGTCTGCCTCCATAGTTTTGCTTATGCTCGATCTGGTAACTGGCCAGGTTACGTTTCTTACCCCGGCGAACGGGGAAACTCACCTAGGAGAAGATCGTACTAATAATAATGGCAGTGGTTTGTCCGAGGAAGATATTGACATGTGTCTGAAGAAAAAGATTTTGTGTCCGGATATTCTCGATAATAAAGGAGACGTAGAGGAGGAAACTGAAGTTTGCGCGATTTGCTTGGATGGTATGTGTCACGAGAAAGACGAGACAGGTGTTGGAATCCTCGGATGCGGACACGAGTATCATGTATGCTGCATCAAACGATGGTTACGCGTGAAGAATTTTTGTCCACTATGTAAAGCCGTCGTGATGCGCGCGTCAGCCTGTAATTGATAAACGAAGAAACAATTTATTTGATAGGGTTTTGTTAGGGGAAGACAAATTCAGATTTGTTAATTGTTTCGTGTTAGTTTCGTAATTTCATAGGTATTTAGCATATATCCCATGTGTTCATGTAATTTGATGTTGATCAATAATTAATATTAACGTATATTTTTAATTATTTCCTATTGTTTTTGGCACCATAGTTTATCTTGATAAACTATAATTAAAAGGAAAACATTATTTCCGGAAGGTACAAAATTGTTTGAAGTAAGATTCTTGAGAGCAAGACGACCACATATATTGGACCTCAAAAAATCATCTTTTCATGTCCGATTAACTTGGATTAATTTCTCGTACTATAGTTTTAGTTTTTAAGACATAAGGATAATTTCTCGGGGTAATATGCTAAGAGCCCCTCAAATGAAACTTAATTTGAACTAAATAACAAGTTCAAATCCAATCTTTTAATTAAATCCTTAATTTGAAACAATATATGACATACATCCTTAATTATTTTTTTATCCCTAAATTACCCTTATAACCTAAATATTTTAATCTACATATTCATTCAGTTTTTTTTAATTAAAATTATTTCTATTTCTACTCCCCTCATTCTCTCTCTATCCCCTCCCTCTTCCGTCTCTTCCTTTTTCTCATTTTCTCTCCCGCTCTCTCCATCGCTTTCTTTCTTTCTCTCTCTGTCTCTCATTTTTTTTTCTCTTTTTCTCTTTTTCTCCTTTTCTCTTTTTCTCTCCCTTTCTCTATCCCTCTGAACTAGTTTTTTGATTGGAGAAGCAAATGGGGTGGCGACCGACGAGAAGGCGGCGGCGGAGTGGGCAGATCTGAATATTAAGGCGGTGGCTGCGGTTGCGGTGAATCTATGGTGAAGGCGCCGACGAAGTGGGTAGCGGTGGCGCGTCGGATCTATGGTGGAGGCGGTGGATCTGAAGCGACAATGGAATGCGTAGCGGAGGCGGCTTCGAGGGTGACGCTGGCGCCCCAAGTTCGAGAATGGTGTTGGTGGTGTGGTGATGTGCGGATATGTGATGGCAGCATGGGTGGGTGGCCGGTGGTATCCTTAGAGACGTGGATGGTGGGTGGCTTTCGGCGTCACGGATCTAGGGTTTGGTGGGTGGATCTGGGGTTTGGTGGGATGAATCAAAAAAATTTCGATTTGATGTCTATGGGTTACTATGGGTCTGGCGGCTATGGTTAAAAGGAGAAATTAGGGTTTCAAGAATATGCTATCATAGATGTCTATGGTTTACTACAGGTTACTACAGATTACTACAGTTTCCTATAGTTTCCTATGGATGTCTATACATGACTGAGACCGATTTTTTTTTTAAATTCATAATTTTCAATATCACGTAGAAAATAATCGAAAAAAATAGATTCTTAAAGTACTAAAAAATACGAAAATGAATAAAAAAAAAAGAGTAAATGTGTTGTACGTAAAAAAAATAATAAAAAAATGTTCGATGCAAAATGAAAATGTTAAATGAATAATAAAAAATGATAAACGCAGTTTAAATGTTACTTGATGCAAATTTCATATTTTGTGTGTGGAGGGCATTTTTGGAATAAAATTTATGAAGGATGTGAAGCAAATGTTTAATTAGACTTGTCATTTAGTTCTAATAAGTTTTGTCACTAGGGACCTATGTCCTAAGACCCCTAATTTCTCATCCTTATGTCTTTAGTCTAAAATACCCTCCTCCATAATATATTTTTTTTTATCAATTTCATCCATTATACTCTAACTTTCTCAATATTACACATTGACCCCAGATTTAAACAAATATATCACATTAACCCCATTTTAATATTTTGTTGAAAAAATAATTTTTTTTCGTAAAATAAATTTTTTATGAATTTTTTTTTTCTTGTCTGATTCGGACGTTGAATTTTTTTTTTGAAAACCTTTTTTTTGATGAATTGTTTTTCGGTTGGTCAAACACCGTTGACCGTCGGTCTCTGGCGTTGATTTTTTTATGTTTTTTAATAATTTTTTTCCTAAAACAAATATTTTAATTAATATTAGTGTCTTGGCTGCTAAATTACTGTCACAAACAGTAATATTACTATTTGGGACAGTAGTATTATGAATATTACTTTCCTGAACAGTAATATTACGGTCGGAGATAGAAATATTACGGTCGAAGACGGCAAAATTGCAGGCCAAGACGATAAAATTAATTAATACAGTAAAATTACTGTCACAAACAGTAAAATTGCTGTCACAGACAGTAAAATTGCTGTCACATACAGTAAAATTACTGTCTCAGACAGCTAAACTACTATTTTCGATAGTTAAATTACTGTTGGAGATAGTAATTTAGCAGCCAATACAATAATATTAATTAAAATATTTTTTTAAGAGAAAAAAAAAAGTCAACGCCCGAAGACCCAGCGGTCAACGGCGGTTGACCTACCGAAAAAAAAAATTTACGAAAAAAATAGTCTACGACGGCTGACCGGTAGTCTCCGGCGGTGACGGGTCAAAATTGGAATAAGGGTCAAAATTGGTTGATTGGTGAAATTGGGGTGTAAATCATGAAATTTGAGTTGAATTGGGTTTCAATGAATTGAGGGTAATTTTGGTATATATGAAAGGGTTTTCCTTATTTGCAAATAAGTTTGAATGAGCTGTAAATATTTGAAAGACAAAAAAGTTGGATGTTTCTTTTTTAATTAAGTGCCCTTATTATAGGCCTCTTTGATATTAACCCTAGTTTTTAGTATATCCTTATTTAACATGGTAAATGGCAAAGGTGCCCATGATGAGGGCACTTAATTAAAAAATGTACATTCAACTTTTTTGTCTTCCAAAATTCAGCTCATTTAAACTAATTTTGTAAATAAGAAATACTCTTTTATATATACCAAAATTACCCCCAAATACTTGAAACCATAATTCAACTTCAATTTCATAATTTACACCTTAATTTAGCTCAATTTAACCAATTAACCAATTTTGACCCTTATTCCAATTTTGACCAGCCACCGTCGGAGACCAGAGACCTGTGGTTGACCGGCAAGAAAAAAAAATCAGAAAAAGAAGTTTTCAAAAAAAAAGTCAACGCCGGAGTATGGCCGGAAAAAAAATTATTTTCTGAAAAAATTTATTTTTTCAAAAAATATGAAAATGGGGGTTAATGTGATATATTTGTTTAAATTCGGGGTCAATGTGTAATATTGAGGAAGTTATAGTATAATGGATGGAATTAATAAAAAATATAATATGGAGAGTATTTTAGACAAAAGGCATGGAGATGAGTTTATTTGGAAGACTGTTTTTTGTCTGTACCAATGTGCATTTAGAGGGATAAAATTATCTTATTTCTTGTTAATAATAACGTAAACTTCATCGCAAGGTGAAAGTCACAAACAAATTTAGGGACAATTATAAACAGGGACTATTAGTGAAACCCCCTTCTAATAATTTTGTGATAAGGATGGGTCCGGCCCTTTTTCACTTATTACTAATACACTCATCCCTTCATGTATTCCCAATTTTTCCCTCCGCCGTCGGACACGTGGGAGCCACCGTTTACAAGTAACCGAAAAATTGGGTGAATTGAAAATTTGAAAAACTTCTTTTTTGGGCTTAATTTTTCTGGGATGAATCTGTAATTTCTGAAATTTTTAAGTAAAAGGATATTTTGGTGTTTCCAGGGAACAAAATACACACACAGGCGCAAAATCCGCACGTGTAACACACGATAAGGCTGCCGGGAATAGAGCTAAAATTCAGGCAAATAAGTAGAAACAATATTCAGATGATTGTAACTATATATTATATCAAAGTAATAAAAATATGGTGCCAAACACAGTAGGGGATTAATTAATTGAAAAGAATTTTATGTTGATAATAACGTAAATAATACATAAAAAAGCATGACTATGAATTAAATCTGAAATTACCTAATACCAATTAATTGTTTTTTCACATTAATCTATATTTTCGATCCGACGTGATGCGACCGCTTTACAGAGCGGACAAGAATTATTTGTACGCAACCATCGTTTGATGCAACACACATGATATTCATGTCCGCAGCCGAGACTCCCAATCGTCGTCGTCTCCTCTTTTTCTTTTTCACAAGACGTGATCATATCATCCAAGCAAATCGCACAAATTTCATCACTCTCCTCATCCTCTCCTTTACGACACGAATTCCTCGTTTTCAGACAGTTTTCGATATCTTCTTTGGACAAACCACTGCCGTTAACGTTTTGAGTCGGACTCATCCTATGATCTTCTGTTACAGCTTGTTCGGTATTACCAGCCCCAATAACCCAAATTGCAGAGTCATCTATTGCATTATCATATATCATCCTATGATCTAGGACATGATAATAAATGGCGCCATTGTTAATTTGCCTGAAACGAGGAGGCTCATCATACATTAATTCTTCCATCGATCTTTCACAAGGGTGTGAGAGAGAAGATATGGAATTAAGCATATATATATATATATATATATATATATATATATATATATATATATATATATATATATATATATATATATATATATATATATATAAATATATATATATATTGGCATCTATATTATACCTTGTATATATATATAAATAGTTTAGTAATTAATGTGTAATAAGAGTTCGAGTATCGCTCTAATTCCTTATTTTTCGTAATACTTGCCATATTATGGGAGCAAATTGCAAAAAGTACCCCTGTGTAATATAAAAATAGCGAAAACCCCCTGTGAATTTTTTTTAAATAGCACATTGGACCCATTGTGATTTTAGTCATTAACCAGATGTAAAAAAACAAAAAACCCCTCTTTTTGGATAATTACATCTAACCCCTCAACTATGATTTTTTTTTTCTTACACCTCCACCCTTATGGTGTCAAATTCAACATAATCATATAGATTTCGTGGAATGTGCTCTAGTTTGTATTCATTTTATGTAAAAATACAATTTCTGATGCACCACAATCTGATATGTACAAGCCAAAAAAACACATATTATGATCATCTTGCTTCAAAACCTAGAGTTCGAATGGGATAAAACGGATACAAAAATGATAATATTCCACATAATCTCGAAGGTTCCAGTAAATTTTAAACCGCAAGGGTTGACGTGTAAGAAGATTTATAGTTGAGGGGATGGATGTAATTACCCAAACAAGAGGGGGTTTTCGTAATTTGACTATACCTCAGGGGTTGGTCGTAATTTACCCTATGTCATAAAATAAGGGACTTGCTTTTTGCGGTTGCAAAATTACTATTTGCGGTTTAATATTAAAATATTATCTCTCTAGAAAAAGAAGCTTTTGAAGGGAATTTGCTTCAAAATCATTTTTGTTGGTGTGATATACGAACACAAATGAGCTCATCGGATGAAGATCGTGATACCGGACATAATGAGGTAAAAATTCTGTCTTCTCGATCGAAAAAACTGGGCAAATCGTGCAAACGCCCAACTTGGGCGCCCATTCATGCAGTGCACGCCCAACTTGGGCGTGCACTGCATAAATGGGCGCCCGAGTTGGGCGCCCGGTTCAATTTTTGTTTTTTAATAAATTTTTAATGCTTTTTTCAGGACAATACGTCTACAATTGAAGTTGATCATACCGATTATTTTACAACAACTCAATTGTTTGACTCGAGGGACGAGTTAGTGGCTTGGGCGAGGTCCATTGCAAGAGGTCTTTTCGTGAAATTAATTGAAAAAGTGCCCCCAAAACAAAGAAAGTATGTCTGACTTGTGACCTGTTCGGGGGGCTCCGAGAAACACAATCAACTAACCCAGAGGCGGCCTCGAAAAGCTCTGGTAGCAAAAAAATAAACTATGGTTTTCAAATTGTCGGAGAGCGGCGGTTGGATGATAGATGGGGGCTCAGAATAATATATAGGAAGCATAGTCATTTTCCGATATACATGTCTGGGCATGGGATGAGTGCTTTGAATGAAGTGGAGGTGAAGATTATCAGGGATCTTTCACAAATTCATGTGCCGCCCAAGAAGATTTTGGCTAACTTGAGACAAAATGGCTTGGGTCTCGATGCTTATTCGAAACAAATATACAATGAAAAGGCGAAATTGAAAAGATTAGCTAGGGGTGACCGTACAGTGATGCAACATTTGATTGGGTTGCTTGAGGAGCATAACTATTACAAGTGGTTTCGTACTGATGAAACCACACATGAAGTTATTCAACATCTGATCGCCAGGCTCGTACCTAATTTTGTACGATGCTAATTTTTTCTCCCTCTTAGCACCTTTTAGTGGACGAATAGGGTCCGCCGGTTTAATCTGCCGAAACCCGAACTGATGCAAAACTCTATCGGGCATGTAAGGCTCGACCGTATCCATCCATCGAATAGTCCCGTGATGAACCATCTTTTCAACTTCACACGACACATTCAATCCAAATGGCGTCCAATTCACATGTGCGTATGTATTAATAATAGACATGTATTAATAAACATAGTAAATATATAAATCTTAATTTTTTTAAACTTGATACTTACATCTGACGCACGCATAGAATCAAGACATCGACGATAATCAACAAGTATATCCTCGTCCTTAGGGATATGATGTATCACCTGCCACCTCTTACACCACGACTCTCCATTCACATGTGCATTAACCATCGGAGGCCGGAAACACGGAAAATACTCATGTATCCAACACTACAAAAATAATGATACGGCGTATTAAACATAACAGTTTGGTGATATTAATAAAAAAAAATTGAGGGGTTACTACAAATAAAAAATACCTCTAACAGTGTCAGACAACCACCCATTTGTGCCGCCTCAGCTCGCGTAATCATGCCCAATTGTCGATTGTCGATACAAATAGGCCAATGTAGCCAAACCCCAGGAATACTCGGAAATCATATCAATGTGCTCTAAAAGTGGGAAAAAATCTGCTTTCACCTTCGATCCACTCTTATCGACAAACAACCGCTTTCCGAGCAAGTACGCAATATATGCTCGTACCCGAAACTTGGAAGCAAATGAAGAATTGTCGCCATACGTCATATCCGAATCATCTACCCGGGATCCGCCACCATACCACTTCTCCATAACTGGGGGCTCGACACCGAACGCTCTCACACCCGCATAAATCGCATCTGCCTTATCCATCCAAACGTTAGGGCGCTGTCCACTAACTCGCAAATGCATGATATAATGCAAATCGTGGAGAGTAATTGTCGTCTCTTCGAACGGCATATGAAAGTTGTTGGTGTCTGGCTGCCACCTCTCGATAAAAGCCTCTATCAATGGGTTATTGTGTTGAGAGAGCGAACAATAACGCAAGTGATACAACCCCGTACTCTCCAGTAGTGAAACACAATAATAGTTGTCGGGGCCCGGCCAAGTAAGTCTGCAACTTCAGCATATGTCGGCCATGTTGAAGATATATTCATATTTAAGAATAGGAAAATCAAGTATAAACATTTTAAACCAAATTTATTAAAATTAATAAGTATTACCTTTCCCTCCCAGATGTCGTAGGCAATATGTGCTCCAAAACTCGAAATCAAATGAGGGTATTAAGGTCCACCGGGTGTCTCACCAATCAAGTAGGAAGAGTTTTTTTCGGACCGGGCCAGGACCTCGGGTTTGGGACAGGAGTAGAATCACCGGAAGTACCAGCAATTGTATAAGCCGGAGGCGGAGGCGGAGTCAAACCGTCCTCGTCGTCGTCATCGGATGGCAAATCAGGCACCGGGAACAGATACTTCTGCTGAAAACGTAGTCCTGAATCGTACCCGTCCTCATGCAGATCCATATATGTATCCATCTCCTGCTCGGGCTCTGCCTCTGTCTCCTCCTCCTCCTCCTCGATTGTCATACGTGGTTGTACAAAAGCACCAGTCCGTTCCCCACGACGTTTAGAACTGGTAACATTACGGTTGTGCGTTCTGCCCTCCCGTTCCGCAGTAGTCTCCTCCACCGGATCTGCAGGAGGACGAATCAGGGGCCCCTTCCCTTTTCACATTCCCAATTTTTTCATCCAATTAGACATCCTACAAACATAAAATATATTTTAAATTTATTAAATTATTATAATTAATTTAAAAAAAATAAAAAAAAATTGACCCGAATGCCTGAATTGGGCGTGAACAATCGGGCGTTTCAAACACCCCATGGGCGCCCAACTTGGGCGTTCAGCTCATAATCTCCGGAAAAAAAACCCCTACAATTCGATTTGTAGGGGCTTTTAACATGAAATCGGTTCCGTAATCGACATGGGCAATGCATATTATACATAAAATAGTCGAAATTACCTGAAAAAATCGAAGCCCAATCATTCTTTGAAGCTTGAATTCGAAATTTCGATTTTTTTTTTTTTTTGCTATTTGCGGTTTTGTGAGGTTTTGGTAGAATTTTCGGTTTTAGAGAGATAAACAATTTTGGTTATGAACCGCAAATAGCAAATTCTTAACCGCAAATAGCATTTCACTAAAATAAAGGCCAAATTGAATAAATAGAGGCCAAATTGTAATTTATAATAAATTTCTGAAACTTAAATTAGGGGTTTGATTGCAATTTCCCCAAAAATCATAACACCTCAATTCCGTATGACAACTCAATCCAGCACAAATTGCAAACGTCGCCAGAGGTTAATCACCATCATTTTCGCCATTGTTGAATCCGTATACATTTGGAAAACATGTAACGTCCTAATAATATTTCGACCGTACTAAGAATTCTTGTCCGCTCTGTAAAGCCGTCCCTTCATGTCGGATTGAAAATATTGACAATTAATTGGTATTAGATAATTTCAAATTTATGTTGCCCGCTAATATTCAATTAATGAATTAATTGAAGTCCAATATGATCTTGTCTTACTTCAAACAATGGAAATACTTTCTTTTTACTTTTAAATAAAATTTATGAAAATAAATTAATATATATGGTGCGGAAAACAGTACGAAACAATTGAAAAAAATACTTTAATATATATTAATTGTTGATCAACATCAAATCACATACACATAGGATATATGCTAAATACCTAATCAAATTACGAAATTAGTTGGAAAAAATTCACTGGCAATTAACAAATCTGAATTTGTCTTCCCCTAACCAAACCCTATCAAATAAATTGTTTCTCGATTTATCAATTACAGGCAGACGTGGGCATCGCGACGGCTTTACATAGTGGACAAAAATTCTTCACACGCAACCATCGTTTGATGCAGGATACATGATACTCATGCCCGCATCCATTGCCGCCCTAAGCACCGCCGTCCATTGCCGCCTTAAGCACCGCCGTTGTCTACACCATCTTATGAAGCGAATCTGTTGTTCCGTATGACAACTCAATCCTGCAAAAATTTCCGGATAACTTATTTTTTTCCAAGTTCAGGATAACTTATTTTTTCCATGTTATAAGAGATAATTATCAATTCATTATTGGTCAATAGGATTATTTTTTCTCTTCCAAGTTATAAATAATCTATATATAATATAAAAAGAGGATCTATGCCCTCAATGATTGACATGTGGCAAATGATGATGTCATTTGTCAAAATTGCTTAGTTGGAGTTCAATTGATGAGGTGGATTCTTCAATTGATTAGGTGGCATTTTTATTTATGGATGTTTTTAAAAAATTTCCTATTTTACATTTACACAATCATTAAATAATTACCACATGTATATATATTATTTTCAAAGTTAATATTTTATAAATTCGAAATAAAAAAAATCTTATTTATATTTTCAGTATTTCAAAATATATTTATTGAAAAAAATTCATGAAACTCAATTTTTTTACGAATATTCAAATAATTTTCATAAAAAAAATAATTTTTTTAAATACTAAAATATTAAAATAAAGGAATATGTTGTTGTTTTTTTTTTTTGTTTTTTTTTAATTTTCAATATTTTAGAATATTCGAATATCCATTCAATTAAAAATAATAATAATAAAATGTTTTATTTTTTAATTGAACTATTTAATAAATATACAATATTTTTTTATATAACTTTTATTATACCATATTTCAAATTAAAAATAATTATTCTATTTAATAAATATGCAATTTTTTTTGAAATTTGAAAATTTAATAATTTAAATGCAGTATATTTTAACAATTTAAAGCATATTTGTTGTTTTCTAAATTTTTTGTGATCTCCGGCCCGTAATTGTTAGGACAAGAAATTGTTTTCTAAATGCAGTAGTTTTAAAGTATATTTCGAAAACACTATTTATTATATAATATGTTTCGGACTATAAACCGGATTGTGCATTATATTTGTCAATTACTATTTCAAATAAAATATCAAATCATTAATACAAAGGAATCTTTAGTATTCCAAGATTCCTTCATATCATCTTTGATTGATTTAATTTACACTTTAATTCAAAATTGAATGGTAAAAAATAAAAATCGTATCTTCATATTTAATGTTTTTATATTGCAAGATTTTTTCCACGAGTTATTATTTTATTTTTTTGGGTTGTTTCCTTCATTTGTTTGATTTGATTTGATTTGATTCACTAATATATAAATCTTTTGAATTTTTAAATTTTCCATAGAATTAAGAATTAAGTTCATTTTCAATACTATATAAACCACTCAATGTTCATTTCATTTTTATCTACCAACATTCGATTACAAAGTGCACAATGTTCGTATTATACAGTTTCATATTACATTTTTTTTATAATTACTTTTATATATACATATTAGTACTATTTGTATTTCTTTCTTTTGGGTTTTAATTTTAATATACTTTTTTAATTGTTTTCATGCAGTTTATTAAATAAAGTCGTTCGTACTTTATGAAGATCAAAAAAATTGTTTGCGCTTATTTCAAACAATGTGTTCTTTGCAACGCGTATTTTGATCCTAATTTCGATCCATGTATGTGCGTCTCATGTGGGGAATCAATCAAAGTCGTTCCATGCTCTGTATCTTGCATTGTATGTTCCTTGAAAATATAGTATTTTTATAATTTTACATTAACATCATTCCATGTATTTTGATATCATATTAATTTTCATTTATTTTAATTCTTGCAAATATAGTATATTTATAGATGTTTAAACCGAATTGAAAAAAATATTTTTTATATATTACGAAATTTATATTTTTATTATTAAAATACAAAAACAAATGTATGTATATTTCATATATTTTGAAATTTTTCTAAAATTTGGATATGCATTTATTATATAAATCATTTCTCTATAATATGTATATTATATACCATAATATCATAAGTTTTTATCATTTCAATATATGATAATATCATAACAAGTTGAGTTTATTGCGAGATTTTTTGATAATATATACGAATTGCATAATATAAACTATGCATGGTTTTCATATTTTGCATGATATCTATTAGTATGTCTGAGTCATTTCCATATTTTAATATATATGGTACACGTTTCTTCCATTTAATGTTTCATGAATTATTTAATTAATAAAACTAATTTCTTTTATTCTATTTTTTTTTAATTTCTGATCTAATTAGTCCTATTAATATTTTTTCAAGTCTTCCAATATTTTAGAAAGAAAATAATTCGTGTAATAAATTAAAATCACGTAAAAATTCAAAATCCGAAAGTAAATTAGAAATTTGAAATTGCATATTAAAATTAATATCATCTAATAATTATTGTAATGCAATAATTATTAAAATATACATACTATTAATTTTCTTTTATTTAATTTCTGATAAAATTAGTTCTACTACTATCTTATGCATTTTTATATTTTAATGTAACAAATTAATCAATTATCCGGATTTCAAATTTTATAAAATTTTAATATTTAAGTTTTCCTTTTAATATGTTGCCAAAATACTCTCCCAATTAATTTAGACTTTGAATGATTACTTATTTATGATGATTTCTTTTAGTTATGCAATTTTGGTAAAAAAAATCCAATCAATGGCATATGGGGCATGTGTATATTCAGTTATGGTATCCGATTTTGATTTGAGTTGAGTTTTGGAACCAATATGGTATATGTATATTCAGTTATGTATTGTATTTAATGATTTTGTTAATATTCCATTACTAAAATCCGAAATGTGAGGACTTTTGATCATATTTTTTTATTATTTTTTCGTTTCACTTTTATTGCCGCCCATGACCAATTAATTTGAAATTTGAATTCATAAAATTTCCTAAACGATATATCTTAATCAAAATTATATAATCCCCATTCATTTTATTCACACTACCCCAACCTTTTTCTACACATAGTATAATGTACATTACATTGAATTTGATTTTTTTTTTTGTTTATATTTTTTGTGCATTTTTCTTCTCTTATTTTTTGTTGGTATTTATATGTTTATGTTTTCGTAATTTTTTATATATGTTTTTAACTCCATTTGATATTTCTATTTAGTTAAATAATAACATGTTATATGTTTTATGTTTTTCTTGCAGAGTATTTTCACGAATCCAACTTCGATCATACATAATTCATCGAAACGGGGTTGCTTACATTTTTTATTTACAATTATTTATTTTATTATTCAATAATTTTTATAATACGAATATTTTATTATATAGTTTTCTATAATTTTTTTTTAATTTTCTATTTATTTATTTGTATCATTAACACAATTTGATATATGATTTTTTTTTTGTTATATAGAAGTGACAAAATTTAGCCACTTAGTTGAGGCCAAATCTTGTGCACTTGTGCAACTATTGAAAAATAGGCAAAAATATATAGTGGAATTACCCAGTTACATTGTTTGAGTGGAAAATACAAAGCATACAGGTACATATACAAATTCACGGAATAAATGAGACTATAAAGAAATTAGAAATGCAAAATGGGATTCAAGGAAGTTTGACTGCAACATTATAGTTGTA